TTAATGGTTTTGTTGATTTTAAAGAAATTAGTTTGATCCATTTATGCAACAGGTTTAATTAAGAAGAGATGAGTTATTTTGTTGATCAGGAATGAAATGTGTTGAATACACTAAGTGGGTTGATTCAACAGGTTGATTCATCACTAATAACAGGAGAGACAGTATAGAGGTGAGTAGAGTGGTGAGAGACATCCTGTGAGACAGGCATCCTGTGAGACAGGCATCCTGTGAGACAGGCATCCTGTGAGACAGGCATCCTGTGAGACAGACATCCTGTGAGACAGGCATCCTGTGAGACAGGCATCCTGTGGGACAGGCATCCTGTGAGACAGGCATCTTGTGAGACAGGCATCCTGTGAGACAGGCATCCTGTGAGACAGACTGAGCTCTAGCCTTTGTGTCTTAAGCAGAGGTAACGTCAAGTTAAGGGAAGGGAAGGAGAATAAAGGGTGAATGGATAAGGGGGAGATTAAATAGGTAATAGAGGGGTAAAGGGGTATGGTAAGAGAAGAGTTTCCTGTTTTTTTTCTGCTTCAGAAATGCAATGTTCTGAGTGAAGGATTGCCACACTTACCATTATAGGGGCTGGAGCTCCCATTATAGGTCCTGGAACTTCTATTATAGGTCCTGGAGCTCCCATTATAGGTCCTGGAACTTCCATTATAGGTGCTGGAACTTCCATTATAGGTGCTGGAGCTCCCATTATAGGTGCTGGAGCTCCCATTATAGCTGCTGGAGCTCCCATTATAGGGCCTGGAGCTCTCATTATAGGGCCTGGAGCTCTCATTATAGGTCCTGTAGCTTCCATTATAGGTGCTGGAGCTCCCATTATAGGTGCTGGAGCTCCGATTATAGGTCCTGGAGCTCCCATTATAGTTCCTGGAGCTCGTATTATAGGTCCTGGAGCTCCCATTATAGTTCCTGGAGCTCCTATTATAGGTCCTGGAGCTGCTCCCATTATAGGTGCTGGAGCTCCCATTATAGGTCCTGGAGCTCCCATTATAGGTCCTGGAGCTCCCATTATAATTCCTGGAGCTCCCATTATAGATCCTGGAGCTCCCATTATAGGTGCTGGAACTTCATCTGGAGCTCACAACGTCACTACAACATATATTGAACGCAAAGTGAACACAAAGGTATATCTTGAACGCAAAGTGTCTGAAATTGAAACTAAAGAGAGAGTTTAAGCTCTCATTTAGAGAGCTCAATTTCATTCGCTTGAGCCAAAGTGTGTAAGATTCTTACCAACATTTACATATTTATATTGAGGCTAAGAGAGGCATCTGGGTAGGTGATAGCAACCACAGATATCAAGAACTTTTTCTTGTAGATATCAAGGCTTTTTTTATCTCTCTCTCCTTGTTCGCTTTCCCTTAAAAATGTCAAATTCTTGAAGGGATCATACAAGATCCATTAGCTCTAATGGATAACGACTTCTCTGCCCTATTTGCGAATGTCAAATTGGCTACGTCACTCCGTAAAGGGCACAAGAGGGTATTAAGGTGGATTGAGACAAGTGTGGCCATGGCTAGCGCAAGGTGTTCGATCCTTCCCTTGTTAAGAGAATGGCGGTGATGGTAATTTGGTCGTTGAAATGGGGGGTTATGGAGGGGGGGGGGTTTGTTTGGGTTTAGAAATGGTGTCAATGCCACTCCCTGCAGGCTGTCAACGTCACTCCCAGGCAGGCTGTCAATACCCCTCCCAGGCAGGCTGTCAACACCATTCCCAGGCAGGCTGTCAATGCCACTCCCAGGCAGGCTGTCAGCGTCACTCCCAGACAGGTTGTCAACACCACTCCCAGGCAGGCTGTCAATGCCACTCCCAGGCAGGCTGTCAGCGTCACTCCCTGGCAGGCTGTCAACACCACTCCCACGCAGGCTGTCAACGTCACTACCTGGCAGGCTGTCAGCATCACTCCCAGGCAGACTGTCAACGTCACTACCTGGCAGGCTGTCAGCTTCACTCCCAGGCAGGCTGTTAACGTCACTCCCAGGCAGGCTGTCACTGCCACTCCCAGGCAGGCTGTCAACACCACTCCCAGGCAGGCTGTCAACACCACTCCCAGGTAGGCTGTCAACGTCACTCCCAGGCAGGCTGTCACTGCCACTCCCAGGCAGGCTGTCAACACCACTTCCAGGTAGGCTGTCACGTCACTACCTGGCAGGCTGTCAACGTCACTCCCTGGCAGGCTGTCACTGCCACTCCCAGGCAGGCTGTCAACGTCACTCCCTGGCAGGCTGTCACTGCCACTCCCAGGTAGGCTGTCAACGCCACTCCCAGGTAGGCTGTCAACGCCACTCCCAGGCAGGCTGTCAACGCTACTCCCAGGCAGGCTGTCAACGCTACTCCCAGGCAGGCTGTCAACGCCACTCCCAGGCAGGCTGTCAACACCACTCCCAGGCAGGCTGTCAACACCACTCCCAGGCAGGCTGTCAGCGTCACTCCCTGGCAGGCTGTCAACACCACTCCCACGCAGGCTGTCAACGTCACTACCTGGCAG